GAATTCCTAATGCAAGAAATTGTATAGGGTTAATAAAGAAACATTATAAACATTATTATAATTGATTGCCTTCCTTTCCTGTGGTGTAAGCGGTGTTGCTTTTGTTTAATTCTGTCTTGCGCAGCTAAAGCAGAAAAATGAGCTGAAGAGCCCGAAAATCACGAGCGAGCAGAATCACAAGGCTGTGCTTCCTGCCACTCCGCTGGCTCAGACACAGGTACCCAGTCCGCGCAGTTCTCTCGTCCCTCATCTTCCTTTGCTTTAAAACAAGCCGGCGGGCGGAGGCATTCGGCGGATCAGAGACTTTGTCTGCCTTTATTTCCTCAGACCCCAAAGACGCCCTCCAGCTTCAGCACGGACTTGACCAAAGTGCTGGAGGCTCAGGAACAGGAGCTGGAGAACAGGCGCTCCTCCATTGTCACTCTGGAGATGCTGGTGAAGGAGTTCAGCGCCGAGAGATTAGCCCAGAATGAAGAAATCCTGCGTCTCAAGGTGCTCCCGTGCTGAAGATTCTTAACCCAAACCCTGAATCAATCTGTATGTTATGTACAGTGTTGTTCCTATAATTCCATCTCCTAGAAGACTTTTCTGCATGTGAAAGTAGCCTTCGAGTTGTTCCACAGCAGAAGAGGTACTGATAATTTTGCGCTGACTATTGCCTCTGGGGTGGATTGTTTTTTGGGGGACTGAGTAGGCTCCTCTAAAAGGGGACCACCGATACGCTTTCGGAGCCTAGAGAGGTTACACAAGCCAACGGTGATAGACCACCCAAACGCCCCTGAAGACTCTGGATAGAGGCTCCAGTCTCTTCAGGGGCGTGGGTCTGAATCCCAACACTGCCACCAAATGTGGTAATCCCACACTCTTCCACTAAACAGCAGCAGTGAGCAGTAGTGGTGAAGCCTCGTGTTACAGCTGTTGTGCTGCGCTCAGCGGTACCATACTTCACTCATTGTGTCGGTAAAGTACTGTACAAATGTATTCTGGGAAAAAGTGTGCCAAAAAATATATTGCATTGGCTTGAATATGACACGTGAAGCAAAAAAAAAACAGTTGTAATTCTTTTGTGTTGAAGGCCCAGCTCTGTGAAAAAGAAAATTTGCGTCTCGAACTGACAGATCAGTGCTACACCTTGCAGAACCAAATGGCCCAGAACTGTGGCAGGTAAGTTGGAGTTCCTCTGTTCTGTTCATGTGCCATTTCAGGAGCAGTGCCATAAACATATTGAAGTTCTGTAAGAATCTGCTGATAATGATACTCCATATCGATTCAAAATCGTGTTGCTTTTCTTGCTTTCAATTTTTATGGAAGGACAAGAAGTAGATCATAACTTGCATCCTTTTTAACCCATGAAAATGAAAAACATCAAAACTATCACCACTGAACAGATTCCTCCATACCTGAAATATACAGTTAATACATTACCTAGAGAATCTGTTACGTGGGTCCTGATTGGCCTAAAGCCCTTTTAATGTCATTGTTATTCCTCAAAATCCTGTGATGTCCAACAGGAGGGCGGTGATCTCGATTTAATTTGCCCCTCTTTGATAGCTGAATTTGTTTTTGTTTTGTCTGTTTGCTGGAGGTTGTACTGTCTTTGTCTTGACTTTTGTTTTTAATGCTATGATCAAACCAACCTTTTAATTAGCAGTGTGGAGAAGGATGGGAACAGTCATGAAGCGGTCATGAAAGAACTAAAGGAGGAAAGAAAAGCAAGGGTTTGTGTTCAAACGTTTATTTTCTATCGCACTTGAGTACATAGGATCCCTAGGCGACAGATATGGTTCTGTTCATTAGCTTTATTTTAGGATTTTGGTAAATGTCTTATGCAAAACATTCCAAAATTTGTTTAGTCCATGAAGGTCAAACTAGATGATAATTTATTTTGTCATGTTTCAGGAACATTTTCTTTAAAAAGTTAACATTATAGAGACAATAACCTCATAATATTATCTCGTAATAGCCACCGTGTGGAATAAATGCTTTTACCCCTGAAATTTTAATCTGTTTGGAAATATGGTATAACAATCTCCATATGATACAAAACAGCATTATTTGACTTACTGCCCAAAAGTAGAGAATGGAGCATTAATTTAAGAAACATTTTCCTCACAAAATGTGTTTTTATTAGATTTATACCCACTCCTCATTTCTTATTCCTTTTTCATGTAAATCGTAAAATATTTAGTCAAAAGGAATTTTTACCCTTAATACCCTTGTTTTAATGTTTCTTCTCTCACTGTTACCATCGTTTTGCTCCCAACAGGTTGCTGCGATGACGAAACTCTCTGAACTTGAAGTAGAGTAAGCATTTTTGGATTTCCCTAACTCTATCGTCACTGATTTATTTTTTGTCAATTTTATATATAGTTGTACTTGCGTACAGACCACTTTAATCTTCACATTTTATCTTACAAGCGACTGCCATAAATGTACAATAAATGCATTCTATTTGAATATCTTTTTTTAAATTTAGCATTAGTGTGCGAAATGCACGAATGCGTACGATTTTTCTTTAAGAGCTGTACGGTTATTGTTAAAGTTTGCAGAGAACTTCAGCCACCCTGTCCAGTGCAGAGACTTGCATCCAGCAGATGACAAGCGAGCTGAGAGACCGGTCCATCGAGCTTAAAGAACTGAGAGAGAAAGATTTAGACCACGAAAAACTTGCAAAGGTAAAATGGCATTTGCAGTTCTGAATTGGAATTTTTCACTTTGAATACTTTTCCAGCTCATTTTGACATTTCCCCGGATCATTTTTAAAAAATATGTCCATCCCAGTCTGTCAAAATTGTATGTAATCCATGGTGCTTAATGTAAAATGATTGCTTGTCCACCTGTTACCAAACTTTTTGTATCCCATTAGCTTTGAGGGAAAAAATCAGCTTGTCCAGACTTTTCCTAGCTGTACAGGTGACGGGTGAGCTGGGTTTTTTGTCGACAGAGGACTGAGAGTTGTTCACTCATGCGAAAGCAGACGTGTGAATAATTCCAGTATAGGTTTACTCTGACTTTGATCCATAGCTTATCCTAACAGCATTGTCAGTCTATCAGTATGGTCAGATCATAAAACAAAATGTCATTTTTTAAGGGGACTTGTTTTCCAGTAATAATACTTCCTCTTTCCCTTAAAGGGAAAGGAGTGATTATTTTTTACCTGCCATAGAATTCGATTTTATCTATAGGGTTGATTCTCCTGTTGGATTTCAGTGTTTCTGATTTAAGATGCAGACATTATGATCACAAATTATTTTTGAAATTTTCTCTGTTCTTGTACCTGGCAGGGACATTGAATGTTCAATTTGGAATTAGTGAATTATTTTCTCAGATGTTTCAAGGTTCTGTTCCATCTGGGACTCCCAAGACAGGGCATTGTAAACTGTTTCATGTTCTCCAACAGATTAGTACTAGAAGTAAATTAAATTTTCACTCTCGGAACAGTAAACTTGAAAGTTCCCCAGACACGGTTTTAAAGTTATCTGTGAATCCCAGGAAATTCCTGAAAAGGTGGCCAATTGTTTTTGTGTGCTGGTCTTTCTCATTGAAAGAATAATAAAAAGGCTAAGGAAATTTCATCTATCAGAACGTCTGCATCTTTTATGCAGGATCTGGGACCAGGGAAAATATTGACATTTCATTCAAGGTATCACTTTTAACTTTTTGAATTTCGAATAAGAGTAATATTAATGATGTGCAGGGCTGAAAATACATGTGATTATACAATATTTGCCAGAGTATAAACTGTAATTAATGTAACAAGCTTCAGCAATCTTGTCTTGAAAGTCTGTGTTGGTGTCAGAATTGTCCATGTTGCCATCATAGAAGCTATTTAGGGTTCTGGGAGAAACATTTTTTATTTTAGCATGGGAGCCATCCACACAATTTCTGGATAAAACTTCCAGAGTGAAAATGATCTAGTTGTATCCATTCTTCAAAGGCAGATTGTACACGCTACTGTATTAGAAGGAGGAGGCCAAAAAGCACGTGGGACCAATTCCCAGCTTCCTTTTGTGTTGCAGGAGGTGGATGTCCTGAGGAAACAAGTTGACTTTTTGGCTGAAGAGAATGGAAAACTAGTGGGACATCAGAACCTCAACCAAAAAATTCAGTACCTGGTCAAACTCAAAAAGGAAAACACCAAACTCATTGAGGTATTTTTCTGTTTAATGTGGTGTGGTATTTTAGTCAGCAGTTGTTATATTTGCAGTTCATGTACAGCAGTCACTTTATACATTATGTGGAGTTTAAAAGTATAATCAGTGATGGGGACATTAAAATCTACAGAGGAGAGAGGACCGGATTGTTGAGATAAAATATACTTTTATTGTTTCAAGTAGTAACAGTCTCCATTACTCTCCAACAGTAGCTCCAGTCTATGATGCACACACTGCTTCTTAAGTAAATCTATAGAAGTTTTCTGTGTGATTCCATCAGTAAGTGGAAGCAGCAAATATTACCATTTGAGACCTTGGGGTTCTTGAGCCAAGTACTTTTTATTATGACTTAAGTGTTTTATATCATGTTGCAATCCTTTTTGTCATCATTCCACTGCTTTCTTCTGCATGAAATAGAAGTGAATATTAAAGATTTGATTTATTTTTTCAGGACAATGAAAAACTGCGGTTGGAAAACTTCAACCTAAAGGAGAGCTGCAAAAAAATCCAAGTTTCTACATGAAAACATGAGTTTATTTTGTGTCAACAGTCCAACTGTTTTGTAAGATATCGGATTCCCTTTAGAAATGCGGTTAAACAAATACATCAAACATTTGCTGTACATTTTATCTGATTAGAAATGCTGTAAAGCGTGTGAATTTACTAATGCTACATTTTCCCTGGTTTTGTAGCTAAATTATTTTTCTTTAGCAGTTATTCAGCAAAATTATTACAAATCACCAAATTAGTGTCAGGACTTTTGAACATCAAAATACTTTGAAATCAGTTGAAACAAACATATACTAAAAATCTGTAATTTGGTGCTTTGAGGTAACAAAAAATGTATTTTAAAATGTATTAAACCTGTTCATTGCTGGATTTAATGAGAAAAAACGAAGACATCGCTTCACAATGAATTCCGTTGAATTGGAGGTTCGATTTTCAGTTAATCTGGATGGAATCTCTCTATAGGCAGCTGACTTTCATGTGAATTTTTGTCAACGTTTACCGTTAGGGAGTGCTTGTTTTTATTTTACAGTCTCATGCGTTATGAAATATCTGGTTAGTGGAATTGAGTTGCGTAGCACTCAGAACTTTCCAAAATATATAGATATATTGTTGATGGAGGCAGACAGAGAAATTTTTTGGTTTTGAGACTCTCCACTCTTTCTTGTTTTATGGGAAGAAAGCATGTGAATATTGAGGGAAACTGATGCAAACCAGGCTTACCAGACGTGGGATTTCTGGCTCGTGTGTCGCATGACCTCCTAACGCATCGTTAACGTCGCTGACATTAATGAGCAAAACTAGCATCTGTCCGAATGGCTGGCGACTGTTGCAAAGATTAGGAACCCGAAATCTTTTGTTTGGAGGGACTTTAAATAGACCGGCCATTAGGAGATCAGTGAAGTAACAGCTCCTCCGGCATAAAACTCTGAAGACTGAGGTTCCTAAGATGAGGTTCGAGAGACCCCGTTTTAAAGAGATCAGATATGACTCCAGAGATCTCATAGCGCCTGTTTTCTCTTAGGTGCAATATGCATTTTCGTCCCTGAAAGTCCCATTCCATGGTCAAACGTACTTGGGTACCATGGATATCTGTGTGTAATGCCTAGGGTACTTTGTAAATATGTTTCTGTTCACATCATTACAGTGTAATTGTCTGTGATTATTTTCTGTGTGTAGTCTGGCGTGCTGCAGTCTTTTGTTGGATTTTGATTTTATTTAGATTTTTCTCTTCCTCTTCCCTTTTTTCCCGTGGTTGTAGGTGAAGCGTAATAAAATCTGCTACATTACTTATGGCTTAGCTGCTGACAGTTATTGTATCTTCCACGATGTGGTACAATTACTATTTTTTTTGCCTGGATATGTTTTGTTAATAAAATGGTAAAAGGTTTTCCTCGCTCCTCGTATTTCTTCTTATTCCTCAGTATAATGTAAGGAAGGAGTTTTGAATTTCTCTGAATATTACAAGAAAGCAACTTCGGAGATGAAAAAAACAGCAATAGGAAACAAATTGAAAAACTTTATTTTGTAATGCTTTATTTATAAGTCTTAACAAAATCTACAACATTAAGTAACTTCTAACGAAATAATGTATACATACATACATTATAAGAATAGTCGGTGGTACTCTACAGAAACAATTTAACAAAGTGGGGGGAAAACTACAGTTCCCAGAATTCAAAGTCTTACATCGCAGTCACGTGTGCCGTACGGGGAGGGGGGGGCGTGCCTGCAGCCGTGCAGAGCTGTGATTGGCTAACCTGTCCGGGGTGACACGAGTAGGAAATGTCGAGACGTGACTGCAACCAAACAGCACATCAAAATGTGACAGAGTGAGGAGCACCTTAAATGTTGTTAATTTCACTAACGTAGAAGATGTTCCCTGGCGTCATCTATGCATTGCTGGCAGGGTTCCTGGGGGCCGTGGCCTCCTCGTCTGCGAAGCTGTCCCTGGGAGCCGACTACCTCAAGGGGGTCTGTGAAACGGGGCTCAAAACGTGGGGCGGAGATGAGAGGCACTTCAGGAGGGCGGACGACACCACAGCCTGCGACTGGGTAAGGTGGCCCTGTGGCGGTCTGTCTCGGAGGGCAACGTCGGCTCGCAGCCGCCGAGGACAAATGACGCTCGGAACGGGCAGCCTGAGCCTGGGTCCAGCGGCTTCCCAGTCGCTGACCCCGCGATGGACTGGCGCCCAGTGCGTCCTGTAGGACAGGCTGCGGCGGCTCTGCTCACGGTAGCGGGTGCACGCCGAGTCCCGCACAAGTCAGCCCTGTGCGCGGCGCTATTACGTCGTACATGATGGTCATCGTACTGTACGTGTGCAAAGGAAGGGAAACGTGCATAGTTCGTCCCGGGCAGCTTCTTCAGCCCCATTTTCATTTTAAAATAATCCGATTCTCGTCCGCAGAGATTGGCAAAGTAAACACAAACAAACGCTGGCAGCTTTTTATCCGTTCGTACTTTTGCTCAGTCGAGCAACTGGGTGATGTACTGTAAACCAGGCTGAATCTGCGTTTCAGTCGAGGTGCGTGGTGAATTCGGGGTACACGGCAAATCCCTGCAAAAAAGACCTTCGTCTTACTTCAGACTCTGTCATTTATGTATAAATTTATGACGATGTCTAACAGTAACGAAATTAATCGAAATAAGCATTAAACGTTGCATAAATCCGATCTAATAATAGAACGAATCGAGAAGAAAACTTCAAGTCTTTCCAAGTTTACACATTTTGCTGCTGCCTGAGATTACAGTCATGAAACTTTCAGCTTTCAAATAGAAGTTTAGACTTGGAAGCCGCACAGTCCGCATCAAACGGATAAAGCTAAAGAAATGTTGCTCGAGTGTAAATGAGGTGTTCAAAGAAAACGAGGAAATGTCGAATGACGTGAATATTCAACCCCCTTTGCCTCCACAGCCCTGTATCTGCTCCAAAAGAAGTGTGAACGTTGTGAAAGCAGTCGTGTGCTCTCAGTCCGTGTGTAATCAAAATGGTTTCGTTTCGACATGTCTTGGTGTGTTATCTCCAATATTTGAGACTTTCAAGCCAAAGAGCTTGTGAAGCAAATCGGGGCTGAAGTGGCAGAGAGGCCCAGACCAGGTGAAGGTTACATATCCCTTCGAGTACAGTGCAGTCCATCATTCAGAAGTGCAACAGCTGTTACTGCCTTCACCTTCCTTTCCAGGGCACCCTGCTAAGCTGAGTAGCTGAGTACACTGGTTAGGGATGCCACCAGGAAGCCAGCAGTGTCTTTAACAGGTTCCCTGATGCCCCCCCCCCCTCTCACTTTTACCCATTCTTGTGCATTGGGTTGTTTTCTAATGGGGGGAAAAAAAATCTGAACACCGAGGCCTTCCTGCCCTCGGTCTGCGCGGTGGCGAGTTCGGCGCTGAGGACGTGCCCCTGTCTTCCAGCTTCACATTCCCCTGCGGCTGGTGTGTGGTGGGCTGCTCTTCACCTGCAACGCCGTGATGTGGACCTTCTTCGCCAAAGCGCTCAGGTACTCTTCCTCTTCTGCCAGAGCCACTCTGACCACCACCGCTTCCAATTTCATATCTTCAGTAAGTGGACTCCGGGTGCGTTTCCTTCGCGGGCTGTGTGTGTGTGGGGGTTGTGCAGGACCAGCCTGAGGCAGACCCGGGTCTTGCTCACAGCACTGCCCCACGCGAGGTCTGTAGTTCAGCGTCGCAGCAGGCTCTGCTGCTGGCTAGGATCTAGGCCAGAGTTTGTAGGTCAGACTGCGATTTAAAGCCTGTGTCCGAAAATCCTTCTTCAAAAAATAAACTGCTGGGGTTTTTTTTTTATAAAGAAAATGTCACCTTAAAAAAATATGTAACAGCTTTTGAAGATGAAGCGCTGTATTCATATAAGAAATCTGGGTTTTTGATTTCTGCCTGGTTCTGTAAGACTTAGTTTCTACTTTACTGAACCTGCTCTCCCAGCAAGATGGAAGTGCTGAAGAGGACCAGGTACACAGGGTGTTCTGTGGCTGTGTGCGGCTGGTGGACCTGTGTTTTCAAGGGGCTGTTCTCCTTTCCTTCTGCTTGCAGGCTTTCTTAGGGCAGCTCATCTTTGGGGAGACCCACGCCGTGCTGTGGTGGGTGGGGATCTCTCTCACTCTCTCAGGGCTCCTGGTGCTTCACCGGGCGGCTCCCCGCCCCCCAGGACCGGCCCCAGTCCAGAAGGACGAGTGAAGGGCGGTGGAGGACATCGGCATTTTACGAAGGAAATGGAAATCTTTTTAACGGTCACTGCTAACGGCCACAAGAGATAATAAAATTGGTCCTTTTTACTTGCACGTCTACGGGCATTGGGCATATCATCCTTCTTTTTGACAACAAAGCTTTATAGTCTGTTACGGAACGAAAGCACCTGTGGGTTTCGTCCACTGTAAAGGTTTGGCTGGCTGTGTGACCGTGGTGCTGTGCCAGTCGGTGTTGGTAACTGGCGTGGGTGAGCCAGTTCATCTGCTTTACATTCACGGTCGTCCTCGGATGCGCTTATGGATGCAAACTGGGTGGATCAGATTTGCCGGTTTGGAAAGGGACCAACTTTATAATCACCCGTCAGGTTTTGTACTGGTTGTCAGCTGGCTAACAGCGCTGCTGGTAGTCGGGCATGACTCCGTCATAATCTTTCTCATGCATGCTGAGCTCTCCGAGACCTTTATCCCAAAACACTGTGAAGGGGTGAGCAGGGCTTCGTTTCTGTGTCTGCTTTCACGGAAATGAACATAAAGTCGAAACAAACGTGTTGTTTTGCTTAGTAAGTTGGGTTTTTTTTATATAAGCATGCAATAAAAGGACAAAACTTAAACTTGATAGATAGTTACTGAAAAACCCTACTTTTGTAACTGTCCTGACCCAGCTGTCTCTTCCCGGATTGATCGGAAAGATTTCTCTCTCCAGTTTCCAGCTATGGAGACAATGCACACCAACCTCCATGACCGTATGAGCACTGATGATGCGGCACTCCAGCATTTAAAGTGAACTACTACATGTCCTGGACACGAAACTGGAAACTTTACCGATGTAAAGTCGCTAAACAGGGTCTTAGGCCACCATGTCTGTATACTGGGGTATAGAGTGTACCAGCGTCAGCAATTGTGCGGGAGGGATGCGGCACCATCGTTCAACCAAAAAGTCAAATGGGCTCATGCCTGTTTCAAAGGCGCCGGCGTCCCCTGTCGTAGCCATGCGAGGTGTAACCGGGCCGGTCCGCCATATTTATACATGGCCCTGAGCATGCTGGGATGTTATTGGCTTCATTAATGCATGAGCTACACCTGTGTGGCAGCCCTTGTTTCAGTGTACTTGGTGTCCTTCACTTACCCAGACGTTTCCAGTTTTTCTGTCCCCTACGTATACATACAGAGCCTCGCACTGCAGGGTCTCTTATATTTTTGCAAATAAATGTTATCACAGATATATTCTAAGATTTCCCTAAGTAACATTTCTACCTAAGCTATTTCGCCTAGCATGCAGAATGAATCTGGTGTTAATGCTACATTGATGTAACCTGCATCTAAAGCATCACAGTCGAAGGTTTGGAACAGCCGGAAAAGGCTTTAGTCTTTACTGTATTGCATTTCCCTCTCGTTACATTAACCTTGTTCTGTGACCCTTGAAAACATGTTTTGGTGGTTAGCTGTACAGCTCTCTGTGACTTTGTCTGTTTAAAAAGTCTAGTTTATGAAGTGTACATTATATTGTAAGAGTCTCTAGATGTAAAAAAATATTTTCAATGTTTCGTGTTTAAGGCAATATAAGACCTTTGACTTTGTCTTCCAAATTAAGAATCTCGCATGGTTGATTGGCACTCTGCTCTGCTTGGAAGAAAAGGAACATATTGGCTGGTTGAATGTTTTCTCAAGGCTTAGTATGCTCCCTCACAAGTTCTGTGTAATTGCCATACCCTAATCACACCCAATGGCAGAATTTCAAAAAATAACATTAATGCAACGAACAACACCTTTTCTGTGTGTAGTGTGGTCTGAGAATCATCGCTGCTGTTACACTTGAACCTAAAAATACAATGGTCCCAGTAAAGAAACATAATAGATTAACACCTTTGTTTAAAAAAGAATATTTGTTAAAGGGGTGGAAGGTTCAGTTTAAGTTATGCCAAACCCTTTAATTACTTATGTGGAACCTGTTTAATACATACATTTGTAAAATGTAAATATATGTATTTTTTTAAGTAATTTTTAAAATGACCTATTAAAGGGGACATTTCATTCTGTTTAAGAAAGGAAGAATCTGGTGCAGACGCTTAAATAAACATACGTTTGAGAATCATTTGATGGGTGGTTTCTCTTGTTTTGACAGTACAATTCAACGTGTTGAAGAAAACCTGTCAGAAACAAAGTGCAAAGAGTTGAGACCTCTGTGCTAGAACATCCAAAGAGTGTGACTGGAATATGAAAAAAGTGGCTTTGTTCTCTCAGAAATCAAGTTTGACCAGTTCTCTGCCCTTTTTTAGTATCGGGAGTCAAAACTGGAGAATAATACTGTAGCAGTGTTACACCCCTGAACAAATGAAAGACACAAACTCTCTCCTGCAAGTTTGAAACTGCTTTCCAAAGTCAATATTATAACTTAGAAAACAAATACGACAATAAAACAATGTAATATGGATA